AAAAAACGCTCGACGTCGATTGATTTGTTGTTGTTTTCGAAGAGCACTTGAGGATGTTGTAATAGCATTATTTGATGATGAACAAATACTACTATTATTTGTTTCATCGATATCACCATTCATGTTCAATAATATTCACTATGAATAATATTGAAAATTGTTTATTTTATTTCTTCATTGAAATATCAAATAAACAAAACCCAATATTTTCTTCTCGTTCCTATTCATTATCAAAAATAAAAACAAAAAAGAACAATAAGTTTATTGATAAAATTAATCAGATTTCTATCTATCTTTTCCCCCCTCTCTCTCTCGCTGTATACATATAAAGAAATAGGAAAAAAAACGAATGATTCTATTAATAATTATTAGATTTGACTTACATGCTGATAATTTTTTCCGTATTACTGCTTTTACTATCATCATACGTCATTTGATACATACCATAGAAATGAAGACGAAGAAATAGAAAAAAAAAAAAAAGATCTATTTTTTTCTTTTTCTTGTTTAATCTAGACATGAAACAACGAAGAAAGTCTAATGAAATAGGCGGAAGTCGAACAAATAGAACCAACAACAGATTTTAGTAATAAGCCGATTATATATATATATATATACTCGACATACAAATTTGTTCTGTAATATAATGAAGCTTGTTTTCTTGACTATTACTACTACTACAATTACTATTAGTAGTCATATTTTATCGCTGAATACATTTATGTATGAGAATAGGATAATAGAAATGATGGAAAATTTAATTTTCTTCCTTTTATTCGTGTTAAAAAATGGTTTTGACAAGCAACATGTGCATGTATATTATCATACACATTGGTGTCAATGTTTTTTCTTCCTTTATTCTTTCAATTTTCTATTTAAGTATATAGTAAAAAAAAAAGGAAACCAACCGAACAGGTAAAAGAATTCTCTAATTTTCATGATAAACGATGACAAGCAATAATAATAATCACTGTACTTATTATAATGAATATTCTGCATAGGTTTTTTTTTGCTTTCTAACAAGAAAAGATATAAAATTAAAAAAACATCTGGAAGACGATTTTTACTTGTATACAATAATATCCTAAATACAATGACTGGTTGGTATGTTTTGTTTAACTATAATACGAATGTATATTGTTATTAATAGTAGTGTCAGTTAGGTGAAGTCTAATGAAATCATGGTTTTCTTAGTTATCGGATAGATATTATGATAACAAAAAAAAAACATCGACATCTGCTTTACATCCTTACCGAATATAAAAAAAAAAGAACAGTTACGAAAAGCATTAGAAGAGATATGTAGGAAGACAAATATATACATATAGACAACCGTTGCCTTTTCATTCTGACTATTTGGTTGATTTTTTATTCGTTTCACTCGCTGCAATGATCGTCATTGTTAATGGTGATAGACGAATGAGATACTCGTTTTTATTGTTACTATTACTAGCCCATATGCCCCTAACAAGTATAGAATATGACATACTATATTTCAAAAAAATCGATTAAATGATCACGGTATATAGATACTATAATCGTAAAATAATCGAATGATTTCTATTATTATCGTGTTATACAATACTCTAGTAGTGTCTATTAAAAAATTTCTAAATATAGAAATATATTTATATTTATATATATATATACTAAGTTAAATGTTTATTGAACTGTATCTATCAAGGAAATATACCATGCAAAATCACAAACGCATACATACGTAAACACTGATCTCATTACGCCTTCAGAACACTCTGGCACGCATGGTTGCTATATCACTCTCTTTATCATTTTTTTTGTTTTTTTTAAGGGACATAGGGAGTCAGCTGCATGTATTCGCTCGACGGAAACTATCAGTAAAACCAGAAGAGAAAAGGACGCTGTTGTATTAGAACCTAAGGCTAATACTTACGAGTCTAGCACAAATCATTTTCTCTTAATAACGATTGCATTTAACTGAAAAAAGACAAAATGTCAAGATCAAAAATATACTCTATACAAACAGTCAGTAATAGAAAGAGAGAAGAAAAAAGTACATTACATGAACTAACATTTTTGTTTTCTATCAATACTTTTGTTATTTTCTAAAGACTTGTTTGTTACTAATTAACTTAATCAAGAAACATTATATTTATTTATTCTTCTGTAGAACTATTTTTTTCTTTTTATAATATAAATATATCATTATAATTAGTAAATAGCTAATAATTTACGTCTTTATATTAGCTTTCTTCGTAGATAAAAAATGAATGTTTTTCTAATAATTATAAAATAAAGTACAGTTTTTTTGTTGTACAAGTACTATAAACATTATACAAAAAATCTAGTGTACATAACTAATATAGAAGAAAGAAATTTTCTCACTTCAATAGACTGATGTCATTCATGCATGTGAATAGATCGAACAATTAACTTCAAGTACTATCTTATATGTTTTATAGATTACAACGACTTTATACTGTCATTTTCTGAGTAAATAATTAATTAATCGAAATTGAATTTTGATAGATTTGAAAAAAAAAAGTTACACATTTTTAGAATAAATTGAAATATTTTGTTTTATCTCATTAGAAAATTATTATATATATTTTAAAATAGTAGATAAGGAAAAAGTATGGAGTTTTTATTTAGAAATATTTCTATATACATTTAAAAAAAGAAAAAGTTGAAGACTAGAATAAAAGACAGATAAATAAATGTTATCTTTATATCGATAATGATAATATATTATTCATTTGATCATCAATAATATCATCGGTTAGAAATATTTTCGGTGAGATTATTTTAATACGACGAAAATCAATTATTATAGTTAAAATATAAATAAGTAGAGATGTTGTTAAAATCCAAGTAGATAAAATCGTACTTAAATAATATTTCCAACCCTAGACGAACAAAAAAAAATGAATTAATTCTTTTATAAATTAGTTCAAAAGAACATACCGGACTTGATGGTATCCAAATTTTGTTCTCATTATTATATTTAATAATAACAATTGTTTGAAAGATCATAACTAAATAGTTTGAAATATTTATAATCATCTTTTTTTCAGAGATTCAATATGGAATGCATAGAAGAATTTAATTCATCATATTTTCAATCATCTATTTTTAAGATTTCACATAATGAAAATACGAAATATTTCTAAAATCTACTAATTGATCAGAGTTAATACACAAAGGTTTGGAAGAGAGAAAAAGTAGCACATTATTATTCTTAAAGATCAAATTCATTAGAAAAATGACATATGCAATTTTAACTTGATCTGAATCGAATTAATTATTATAACTATTCTATCATTTATTTGATAAATCGAATTAGTGATACATTTCGAAGTAGATTATTTATAACTTGTTGAAAATATATATAGTAGGAGCTAGAGCTTCAAACAAAGATTTATAAAGCTACAGCAGAAACGTTTGATTAGTAACAAATTGCTAAACGTATCTTATCTTTTACGATGTTCTATAGACTAAAAAGAGATTCGAACTATCTCCTTGACTTCGAACTCATATTTTACTCACAAATAGACATCAAATGTCATTAGTCAAAACGGATGTTTTAACCTTAAGATATTGGATGCCTAGAAAAACGATCATCTATTGCAGATAATTGACAAAATTTAATATCTCAAGGATAAAGTATCCATTTCGACTGGAATTTTTAAGACATTCTAATGACCATAATATCTCTTTGTAGGGTAAAATACCAACTTTGAGATAAAAAATTTAGTGAAATAGTCACGGTTTTGATTAATTGTATTAAATTCTACTTGTGAGCAAAATATGAGGTCATTATCCTCTTTCCCGTACAGAAGAGTCCAGTAAATATATAAATTGTTTGTTTGCTTGCTAGTGTGTTCGCAAGGTCAAAAAAAACATCGAAGACCAATTTTTCAGAAAACACATTTCTAGAGGTATTTCGACGCAGGGACTTCGAATCTGATATTAGTTTTTTAAAATTCTTTAAAGAAATTTTTTTTTGTATAAAATTTGAAGAAATGGTTTTTAAGGTCGGGAACACGAATCTGATGTTAGTTTTTGCAAGCTATATAAGCAAAAGGTCCCGTAGCATTGTAGAACATCATTCCTACGAGAAAGAGCTAAGCGAGTCCTTAGACGAGCATTGCTTATTATAGAGATGAAAAGAAGTCTACTGATTCAGACAACTAGAATTATCAAAATTAAAAATATTGCCTTTCTATAAAAGTTAGCTTGTGCATTTAATTACTTACATATAACCAGTGCTATAGTACAAATAATTGTAATTATCGTTCGAATCATCGGTAATAGACGACTTGAATATAACAATGGTCGAATCCAAAATGATAAAAGCATTTCACAATGAAGTGCTGCAACACTTGCAATAAATGTTATATACGTTGCAAATATACGAATAAAATATACATTAATATGCTTATAATAAAAAAACAAAAAAAGATTACAATAAATTTACACGAAAATATTTACTGGAAAATTCGAAATAACGCTCATACTAAATGCAGCAATATTTCCACATATAAGAAACATTAGATTTAATTGAGCATATTTTTTTCCACATGTTGGATTATTACGAATTAATTCTGCTCTATAAGTACATAGAATATTTTTATATCAAGATAATAATTAATAATCACTTACATATGACGATAACGAATATAAATAGTCAGTATAACTAGAAAAATAAAGTTATTTAAAAAAATTGTTCTTTGAATATAATAGACTTACGAAGAAATGAAGCAAAATTAATAATTTGTGAATAAATACATGATTCAGGTGATTTTGTTGGTGATTGACTAAATAAACAATTGATTCAATATTCTCCGTAGTAAAAAAGAAAATATTTAAAACTCAATCATAAATTAAATATAAATTAATTTAAATAATTGCTTATTGAAATAAAACATTTTCTTAATTTTTCGAAAATGTTTTTACTTTATTTAATTAAATATTTTTTTTTTTCTATTATTATCATCATCTAAGCAATTCATGATAATTTATTTTCAGTCGATATCATATGATAGAAATAAACATGATTTCTAATTCATTTACGCATCTGTCATACGTATTCTTTCTGATTAACAATTAACAGTGACGTAAATCAGTGCAACTAAAGGTTATAT